AAGGATCTCCAAACACTTCAGAAATCGTTTCATCACTGATGTACTGCTGTCTCTGGGATAGAGGGCAGGACCATGTCTGATAACCATTGCAGAACACACTGTAGGAAATCACATATTTACCAGCCATGCCAGGACAAACCTTGCTCGTCTGTAAAGTGCCACATGACCTTTAGGACCATATTTTTATAAAAAGAGGCTGCATATTTATGCACATTTTCATGCTTACTTAATATAATTGCAGATGGGTCCCTACTATAATGCAGTTTTTACATATATGGTCAAATTCAACCATGAGGTGGATTTAGTCCATGAAGTCTTTAAACACTGCTGAATCTCTTCCATATATTGAAATCAGATCATCAGTGGTTTGGATTCCAAAGAACAACAACTTGTATGAATCCCAAAGAAATCTCAGAGGCTATGTCTACACTCGCGGCTTCTTTCACCAGAAATATGCAAATGAGGCTAAGCATGGTATATCGCCAAGCCTCATTTGCATCCTAATGAGCCACCATTTTTGCAGAAGAGGCTCTTTTGCCAGAAGGAGCTGTCTACACTGCCCCTTCTTGCACAAGAAAACCCCTCTTGCACAATGCTGTTACGCCAATTATTTTCAGGAATAACGGCATTGTGCAACAGGGGTTTTCTTGCACAAGAAGGGGCAGTGTAGACAGCTCCTTCTGGTGCAACAGCCTCTTCTGCAAAAATGGCGGCTCATTAGGTATGCAAATGAGCAGGGCTCACCAAGCAACAGCAAGCCCCGCTCGCCAGCTGCGCTACCTGAGCTTCAATCAGATTTTTACTATATAGGTTCCTGTCTGATCTCACAGCTTCATACAGATTCTGTTGCTGTTTTAATTTAGTCTCAGCCTCTGCTATCTTCTTCTTGTAGTCAAAGATCTGCATTTCCCGCACTTTGATATCTTCCATGTGCTGGAGGACCTGGAGCAGTCACCCTCAGGAGCCTTGATGGTAAACATTTATGTGGAGTATTATGTGAAATACTTTAACAATGTTTATATTTTGGTCTGTTGGTGGCAACATTTAGATAGTGTGGATAACTTAAAATTGTGTAGGAAATTACTAATTTAACAATAGTGTATGGATCCAACTTCCATTAAAAATATCCAAGTATCATATCTATTAACTTTGTAGTTTATATCCTGAAGACAGTAGCATATTTGGACCTCTCAGTATGTTTACACCAGATGATGAATTATGCTTCCACGATTCATGCTAATTTAGACTAAGTGATTCTTAATGATTAGCCACCACAGTGTTCTGTGAGAAATCCATCTCTGGGGAACTCTACATCATGTAAAAGGTCTGAAGTAAGTCCATGAAGACACAGGAGGAAAGACATGAAATTATAAATGGATAATATACCTATAGAATTGCTGTATTAGCTTATTTCCCTTCACTCCCATCTCAGACAGCGATTACATTCTCTCTCCCTAGACCCCTTCTGTTGTAAGCTTACTGTCTTTATAATCACTACCCAGCTCCTTCCACCCCTATGTGGGCTTCATCTCTAATTAATGCTGACTCACACCCTAGGTGCAGCCAAGGTATTGCAATTAGCATCTCAGCCAACAGCACCCCCTTTGTCATCTGTGAGGGGTATACCCTCACATTGGGGTGGGGGTGCAAAACCTTAGTTGTGATTTATGTAGCTGTCAGGCTGGGCTGCTTTTAAGGTGTGCTGAGCTCAGCCTGGCCTATGAACTATCAGATATCCCTCTGTTGTGCTCATGCCTTGTGCAACTTAGTGGTAGTTACTGATCTCAACTGGGTATGAGGGAGTTTAATGAAAATGGCTGATCCTGCAGAGGATCTAAGAGAAGACTACTTAAGCAGAGCTGACCTCAGTCAGGAGAGAAGATCCCTGTGAGAGGATTAAGAATTCCCTGTTTGGATAAAAATTGGCACAACCATATATACCAAAGTGATACAATCAAAAAAATAAATGCATGTGAAATTGACAAATCAAATTTTAGAACAGAGTGGGGAGTGAGAGGGGAAGGTTAGTGTCTGTGAGGTAATGATATAGGGGTGATAATAGGGGAAGTTTCTGTGAGATAATGACATTAGGGGTGACAATTGGGGAAGCTATCTTTGTAATGGGTGAGATAATTAGAGTCTTTGTTTAGACCCATACATAAAGTGTCAAATTTAAGCATGAATGACAATTCTGAAGCTTCTCCTTGAAGTCTGGAGTTAGTCTCTTTGAAGCAATATGCATGTTTTAAGGTCATTGAAAGTGCTTCATAGTTCTGTCTTTTGTTTCAGCTAGACCAGACTAACACGGCTGCATCTCTATCACTATTCTGTTTGGATAAGGCCTAGTATATCCAGGCTGAATGATGCCCATGGGGAGCAGGTCAGGCCAAGCTCATACGGGGGAGTCCTGCAATATAACTTGGAGGGAATAGGGAGATTCCTGAAGTGAGCTGGAATCATTGGGGAAGGGAGGAAGGAAGAGAATTATGATACAGAGGCCCACAGGTGCCAAGTGCCAAAGGATTCACTAGGCTTAACTAGCAACTTCTGACAAACTCACTCCACCAAACACACTGCTTCATGGTCTCTATCCATAAAAGGTACTGAAAGCTAGTAATTTATTGATTCTCATAATCATGATAAGATGAGTCTGGGGAATATTTAAGGACTAAAAGAACTAAAATTATAAAAATTTCCCTTACGGTCTTGAAGTGAAAGCGAGTCACCAGGGAATGATATTTGTTGGTGGTATTGCATTTAAGCAGCAGGGAATCGTTGTCTCTTTGTGGCTAGCTAAATTATTATAATGTATTGCTCAATTGTCAGCCCTCACAACAACTCAGAGTGATTTTGCAGGATGGGTTGCAAGACAACTCATTGGTTACAATGCTAGACTGTACTTGTTGATTCTCTGACCAAAAAAAGCAGACATTATAATAAATCATCTCTAGGGCCCTACCAAATTCATGGCTATGAAAAACGTGTAATGGAAAATGAAATCTGGTCTCTTGTGTGCTTTTACTCTATGCTAAACAGATTTCATGGGGGAGACCAGCATTTCTCAAATGGGGTGGGGTGGGGTGTCCTGGCCCAAAAGAAAGTTGTAGGAGAGGTCACAGTATCCTTACCTTTGCACTGCCTTCAGAGCTGGGTGGCTACAGAGAGGTGGCAGTGGGATGGTTGCCCACATCTGAAGGCAAGTGCCCCACCAGCAGTTGTCCAGAAGTAAGGAGGACAATACCATCCCATGTCAGCCTTATTTCTGCATTGCTGCTGCTGGCAGCGGTTCTGCCAGCAGCCACCAGTCTCTAACTACCCAGCTCTGAAGGTAGCTTTGCTTCCAGCATCAGTGCATAAGTAAGGATAACAATACTGCAATCCCCCTACAATAATTTTGTGACCCCCTCACACCTTTTTGGATCAGGATCCCTACAATTAATTTAAACACCATGAAATTTGACTTGCAAATAGCTGAAATCATGAAATGTATTTTTTAAATCCTATGACTGTGAAACTGACAAAAATGGGCTGTTAATTTCAGAAAGCCCTAACCATCAATCACCCTCATAGGATTAGGAGTCACAATCTCCAAAAGGAGATAAAGACTCAAAAACAACTAACTTTCCTATCTCTTAATACAGAAAATGTTTAAAGGACACTGTCAAGTTGGTTAGGCCAACAAACAATTTTTTTGTAACTTGAACATTCCTCTGCAATACTGGAAACACAAACACATCAGCATCCTATTAGTTCATTAGAATCAGGAAGTGAAATGGAGAAGAAATAAAACAAAGCCATTTTCCCTATCCCTGTCTGAGCTGAGTGACATGCGAAAACCAAATAGCAAAAATCAAATGAGCATTAAATGTTTGTTTTAATGTTCTAAAGTTACTAGTGAAACAGGGAAAATTATTTTTTCCAGCTCAATTATCCTGAATCTTTTCTGTGTTCCTTTAAAAGTAACCAAATAGTTATTTAAACTAACACTCTTATTTAAACATCCCCAGCCTTGGGGAGGGAGAATGGAAGATTAAGGAGATCCAGCGCAGCATTTTTTAAAAACTTTGTACGAATCCAAGGACTGTGAACCTATCAACTGCTCAGCGCAGTACACGTGCCAGAACGTCGGAGGCGCTCTTTAGCAAACTTTCTGCCTGACTTGCAATCATTCAAATGTGATTAGCAAAATCCTCCTCCTTGTTATCGCTTGGTGACAGGGCTTCAAAGCAGTCACTAAAAGATGGGATGAACTCATGCATGACCATAGCTTTGGGCGTGCCTCCAACGTGGAATTGCTCCCGATTCACTTCATGTGTGGACACCCTCGTTCCAACACAAGAGCGCCTGGGTGCGGATTAGTTGAATGCACGTTACTCCCGGCTTGTTTGGTATTTGCAAGCCACATGTTACGGTTTGTCCTCGCCTGTCAAGTTGGTTACACAGCTGCCAATAGAGCAAACAGCTGTGGGGCTGGACAGGCGGCTCTCGGCCCCCTTCCCTTGGTAAAGACGTCCTGGCAAGCGCAGCCCCCTGCCGCCGGGGGAGGAAAACCTCCGCGCTGGAGCTTCGCAGGGAACAGGGAATTCGAAGGAAGAATCCCTCCCACTCACGTCACTCAAGAGGGAATCCCCGCCTCTCGTTCTAGAGAAGGGAGTCCCCGCCTATTCTGTCACTCAGGCGGAAGGGGAATCCCCGCCCACGGCGGCGTTTCTGCGGGGATCTGGCCCCTCCCACGCCCCGCACGAGGGGGAGGCGGGGTTCAGGCTGCCCTGGGGGAGGGAGGCTGAGTCGGCGGGAAAGCGGGGGGTGCGGGGGGCCTGCACCCGGCCGAAGTGCTGCCTGCGGCTACGTGGGGGCAGCCCCCCCCGCTGTGTCCGAGCTTGCGCTGCAGGGGGAGCTGGGGCTCGTAGGGAATCCCGCTGTGCAGCTGGGGGCGAGGTAGCCCGGGGGCGGGGCGGGGGATCTTAGAAAGGGAGACGGGGGGTCTCCCAGCTGCGGAAAGGGCCAAGTTCGGCGCGCTCCCCCCATTGCTGCCCCCGGGCCCGGCGGGGTGAAGGGCTGGCAGCCCCGCTCCCTGCCCGAGCCCCGCTGGGCAAGGAACCCCCGGGGCCCCGCTGCACGGCCAGCTCCACCCCTGCCCGCGGCTTCTGCCCGGCACCGGGGAGCCCGGCTTCGTAACTAGCCGCACCGCAGCGAACTTCAGCTGCTGGGACTTGTCACCCGGGCGGGGCAGGGGGCCGGCCGGGATATAAATAGCCGCCACCGCCGCACTGGGAGCCGGTCGCCGGGGGCGCGGGCAGAGTCTCCAAGGAGCCTGTCGCCCGGCCTCTGGTGCCGGAGCGAGCGAAGCTTTAGCCAGCCCCCAGAGCCGGGACCTGTAGCGGGAGCGTCTCGCCAGCCCGGGGGAGGGGCCCTGCAGCCCCGCCCACTCGGGAAAACAGGTGGGGAAAGACCCCGCAGCCCTCCGGGCACAGCGTCCGCTCCCACCGCAGCCCGGCGAGCCCAGCCCCCTTCGCCCGCCCGCGAGAGACGAGCCGCCCCCCAGCTTGGGGACAGAAGTACAGTGCCCTGCCCGCTGGCAGCCCGGCTCCCCCCGCCCTGGGACTGGCCGGAGGAGCCCAGAGCCAGCGCCTGGGACTGGCCATCGGACCTGGTGGCAGGAGGTGAGTGGATCCCGCTTTGCTTTGCTTTGCTCTCCTCTCCTCCTGCAGGGGATCAGTCGGCGCAGAAATGACACCAGGCGCTGGTTTAGCAGAGGAAGGAGGCAGGGAAATCAAATGTCTGTTTTTTTTTTTTTTAAATTGTGGCTTGTCAAGAAATGTGACAGTCGGGAGATCGGTTTTGGTAGAAGTCAAGTAAATTAAATGAACCCTTCCTCACAGCTCTTTTCTTTTTCTCTAAGCATCCAGTAACTTCGTGGGTATATCGAAATCCGCCCAACTCTCCTTCGTGTATCTGTCTGTAGTTTGCATTACCACTTGCTGAATATGTTAGGTGTTTACCGTGATCTGCAGCTTCCAGACCTTTGTGTGATTTCACCCTTCAGTGTTCGTTGGTAAAATCTCTAGTGCCAGCATTATCTGAACTATAAAAGACTGGGGTCACCTTTCCCCACCTACTAGCACAAACCTGAGTCGTGCAGAAGTAATAAGTGCAGCAAGGCATCATTTAACAACATGCACCTTAATTTGTTGGAAATCTTGAGTCTGGTAGGATACTGGAGGAACGGGGACCAGTGTCCTTCACCCTCCTGCCTGGATACAAGTGCCTGGACTCTCAGCCACATGCTATTGCAGTAGATTATAGAGACACTCACAGATGGTAGCAGGCAACAACCTCTGCCTTGAGGATTTTAATTAATTTCTCATGCATTGTGGATTTTAATTCATTTTAAAATTACCTGCATGACTGTCCTTCAGTGGAATGGAATCTGGGGGACATTAGCAAGCAGGAAATCAGTTGAGTTTTTTTTTAAAGCAAGTAATTCCCTTTCTGTAGCAACCTAATAAAGTCAGACAGCATGAAACATCTGGCTGATTTTTTTTATTGCCAGAAAATAGTTTGTCATTAAATACATTTATCTACACAAACCAGGCTTTGATATATACAATGGTGTAAGCAGCCTACGAGGAATTAAAAAACCACAACAGAAGGGTGAGGAAAACATCAAGGGCTGGCCTTAAAACCTATTGAAACAGAAAATCTCATGCATGTTAAATATATTGCTTCTCTTTCAGGTGGCCTGCAGAACTTTGCTTGTCTTTCAATGGTACCTTTGGTTGTTGAAATAGCCTATGTCTCCTTAAAAGTGTAGCAGAACAATTGTTCTCTATGGCTATGTCTACACTGCACAGTTATTTTGGAATAAGCTATTTTAGGAATAGTTATTCTGAAATAGTTTATTTCAAAATAGTACATCTACACTGCAGGGAAGCCTCAAAATTAATCCAAGGCAGGTTTCCCTAATGTAGACATACTATCTCTATTTAGAGCCCCAGGAGGGATAACTTAGAATGGCTCTGGTGAGGGGCTATTTCAAAATAGCCGAAGTGGAGTGTCAACACAGCCCCTATTCCAAAATAGCTATTTTGGAATAGGGGCTGTGTTGACACTCCACTTCGGCTATTTTGAAATAGCCCCTCACCAGAGCCATTCTAAGTTATCCCTCCTGGGGCTCTAAATAGAGATAGTATGTCTACTGTTTGGCTCAGGAGGACCCATGTGTAAATCTTGACAGTTTGTGGTAGTGGTGTTGCGAGACCTGACACCCCTGATCACAGCACCACTCACTCAAATTTGGCCTGACCAGTCCCTGCCATCATGACAGAGAGGCAGCTTGGCCAAACCTGAGAGGAGTTGTGACCCTGTGTGCTGGGTCACAACTCCCAAAGCAGTATGCTAAGCCCAGCCAGCCCTGTGGGACCAGAGCAACTGCTGCAGGCTGTGTGGGAGTTACAGGTGTTAATTTCAGATTAATTGGCTAATCGAATAGTTGATGAAATTTCCATTGACTATTTGATTACTCGATAAGTGCACCTCTGCCTTTGAAGTGTAGCAACAGCCCCAGGGACTCCCCAGCTGGCCCCAGGCTCCATGTGGCACTGCCACTTTTAAGCCCCCCTTCTCCTCCCCCTTGCTGCCTCTTTCTGATAGAGGCAGCAAGGGGGGGTGGGGAAGAGACTCATCCACTCGTTGTTCACATCCCTAGAGTGGGATTGGCTTTCCTTTCTCCCTCCGCCCCCAGGCCTCTCACCCCTGTTTCCCAGGGCCAGAACTTGACCCATAAGCCCCTCCTTCCCTGGCCTTCTGTGCATCAATTGGGCCATTCTGGTGATCCTGTTTTAGATCAATGCTCGGAAGAATAAACTGGGATCTTACTCCATCCTTAACTTCACTTTTTCTGCCCCTCTTTGCTGTTTTTGTGGATCTCTCCCTAATTGTAAGACATCAGTACATCACAGTTTTCATGAATTTCCGTGCAAACACTCATCTGTTGCTGTGGTTCTTGGAGGTGAAGCACAGAAGTGTTGTAGCTCATGGGGGAACTGGCCAAAAGCCACTGTTCACTATCAGGAGGCACAGAATTGGAGGGGTCTCAGTGGGGACTGAAATGATGATGCCTGACATCTAAGGGCACCATTTCGGGAGAGGGGGGCAGCAGCCGTGCGCTTTGGGATGTGACTTGCTTTTGCTCCCCCCTCCTTCTCCCCTCCCCCCCCCCAAACTATCAGGGAGTGAATGGAAGGTCCTTGCATGCCGCTCACACCTGGCTGGTGAGCTCCCTTCAGTAGCCAGGTGTGAGGGGCATGCACAGAATGCAAGCACTTTCCCCTCACTCTCTAATAGTGGGCGGGAGGGGGGGGAAGAGATGGGATGAAAAGCAAGCCACGTCCTAGTGCACACGGCTGCTGCCCCCCTCTCCCAAAAAGGCGCCCTTGTTGACCTCATGTAGTTGCAGTGTTTTAAGATTGCCTATGTTACAACAGCATGGACTAGCTGCCTGTGGATGATTGTGCACCCTGGAATTGGCAAGATTATGTGTTATAGTTTCCTCCTCCACTCCCATTCCTCCCATACTCCTCTCTCTTTCATCTAATCTATTCCTTCCATTCCCCTACATAGGTGACTTGTGGTAGCACCCCGGAGATACACTGCCCTCCCTTGTGCCCATTTTAATTGCTAAATGGGGTACCCTGTCTTTCTCAGTGGCCCACCCCACACCCCATCTCTCCGCAAACACCAGTTGCTTATGGTTGCCCATATGTTGCCACTTCTGAGAGGGCCTGTTGTAGGGCACCTTTTTGACTGTCCTGCTCAGTTCCTGCTCTGGAGGAATTCTCTCCCATCCTGCAAGGGCCTATAGTCATTGGGAGAATCCCTCTCCAAGTTGCATTACAGAAATAACCTTCTTAAAACCAGAATGCGCAAGTCTGTTTAGATTATATATGGACTCTACTGCTTGCACCGAAGGAGGTTTACCTTATGTTTTGGTATTTAGTCAATTTCATCAACAGTTAAAATCTTCTGAAAAAGTGGATTAAGGTGAATGTTTCTGGATTAAAAGACTCATAATGGTTCCTTTATGAATTTCTGGGCGTCTGTTTTTGTGTGTGTGTCTCTTTACTTACCCATCAAAATTTCAGGGCCATAAACATAAACATGGGTAGACAAACACTGACTCATGCAAAAATAAGCTTTTGAGGCCAGAAGTAATGAATTGCTACAAATAATGACAATTTCTTGGAGCAGGCACAATCTTCTGATTGTGAAGCTGATGGAAGAAAAAATTATTCTCCATGATTAAGGATATGAATTTTCACTGTCGACCTGAAAAACTATCAATGGAAACTTTCAGAGGTTACCAAGATCTGGGAATATTACTTGTCCTGCATTTTTCACCAGCATGCTCCATTTCCCGAAGGGAACGTGCACATGTCCATTTTGCAAAACAAGCAACTGAGAGACAGAGGTCAAATGACTTTGTAGAGGGCACATGGAAGTTTGGAAAGCCCTGATCTCTGAGATAGAACTATGTTCCCTCCACTAGGCCACAGTGTCTATCATCCATATTGCTTCAAAGCTATTTATTTAGCTAGAGTAAGCTTCTGCCTTAGCCAATCAGTATAAAAGAAAAGGCCCTAGTTCACTTGGGTCCAGTGAAAAGGTTCTTTGAAGCTGTGTTTCATCTGATTATTTGTGGTACTGCAGCAAGCATCTCCCTATCTCTCCCCCCTAGCCTTGCATAGTTGAGCAAGAAGGTGACAAAATGGAACTGCGCAAGCCTCAGGTCAGATGAGCAACTGCCCAGGATCCTCTCTGAAAGATGGAATAGAGCAACTCTGACATTATTTAGTTCGGCCCTGCCAAGGTCTGCAGAATGCTTTTGAAATCTTAGGGTTTTCCCCCTCCTTTGTTTAGCTTTAAAAAGTAAACGGACTTCTATCTTCAAAAATCAAAGTAAAATAACATCTGAGACTGAGTAATTTGGCTTTTGTTACTGTTTAAAGTATCAGTGGTATCAAATGCATTTCAATTCTTTAAAGGTTGGTTGAATTGCAGTGAATTAATGCCTAGGAATATTAACTATTTAATGTAGAAATATGCTGTGTATGTCACACACTTCTAAAGTCTTATGCTGAAGTGTCACACACTTCTAAAGCATTACTGTTCTAAAGTTCCTGTCGTCAAGAATAAGGCTATGTCTACACTGCTCTTCTCTTGCGGAAAAACATATGCAAATGAGGCAAAGTGTGGAATATCGCTGCACCTCATTTGCATAATTAAGGAGGCTCTGTTTTTGCACAACAGGCTTTTGCGCAAAAAGGAACCATCTACACGGCTCCTTTTTGCACAAAAAACCCCTCTTGCGCAAGATCCATTCTTCCACATTTTTTTCCGCGGAAGAATGGCTCTGGCGCAAGAGGGAGTTTTTGTGCAAAAAGGAGCCATGTAGATGGCTCTTTTTTGCGCAAAAGCCTGTTGTGCAAAAACAGAGCCTCCTTAATTATGCAAATGAGGCATGGCAATATTCCATGGTTAGCCTCATTTGCATATGTTTTTCTGCAAGAGAGGGGCAGTATAGACAAAGTATTCTTTTGCTGAATTTTCTATTTCCTGGCCACAGCAAATATATGTCACTTTTTCATCTGGAAGGATTCCAATG